AATGCTTTCTCATTCCCCCTTTGTCTATTTTTCCTTTTCTTAATTGACTACCAGCATGTGAGCAAAGGAAAGAAGCAGATCTTGACACCTTCAAAAGGAGCTTTGATCTCAAAGCACCTTGAGGCCCCAGAGGATCATCAAGGTTCCCACTGTCCTTTTATCGCACAGTGTTTCTCTCTGCCCCTTGCTCCTCCTCCTCCTCCTCTCGCTCTTCCTTTTCTGCTTGGCGTGATCAGCGAGAGCTCGCTGAGGCAGCCTGATAACCCTGATACACACACACACGCCGACCGCAGCCTCTGCCTCATTCTCATTCCACTCCCGACAGCAGCGTTTACCTCGACGCGCTCTCGCACGCCGCAAGGTCATGTTGAAATATTTCAGACGGAAATGCGCTCCGTACTGCTCTTTCTCTGGCTGCCGTGCAGAATTCCAAAGTCAATTTTCTTTTGTCTTTGAGAACAAGGAAGGAGAGACTCTAATGAGAAGATTACAGAAACTTTCTCGAGTTTTTTTTTTGTTTTTTTTGGTAGCTTAACTCGATTTACTGTGTGGGAAACTGATGAGCAGTTTGTGCAGTGGTAAACAAATCAGATATTTGGCAAGAACAGCAACTTTGTACTTAAAGTAATATAATATTCAAGAGGAAATCTTTGATTTTTCTCTTTTCCCCAGATGAAACCTTTCTCTGTAAAACTCAGAGCCTCAGAACCAAAACCGATTTTGGTTAAAGTTGAAACTTAATTCTGTCTGTAGGTATGTCGTCCAACCCCCTCCACTATTGTAGATCTTTGAATATTTAATTGAATCTCAGTAACTCAGATCCAGGCTTCTTCAGGCAGATCAGATGTAATTGAAAATACATCTGATCATAAAGTAGAGCTCCTGCCCCCCAGTCTACCGCGGACCTGCTCCCTTTGCTACCGATTTACCCGTAGAAAGAAAAGTAAAATGAGCTACCCTCTAGATAAAAGTGGAAAACGTAACATTCTTGCTCCTGACATTAGCTGACAGCTACAGCAGATTAAGGGCTGCTAAGCAGTCGTTGAGAAGCTGTGGTGTTTAAAGAGCAGCCAGGGTTTATTGTAAGTTACCTACTAGTCCCTTCATTTCAATGTTGCAGGCTTGACTGCTCCCAGTCATTCAAAGAGTTTTTCTTTTCCTTCTGTTTCCAGAGATATGTTCGCTTAAGGGAAACGGCCATTAAAATGTCATTACTGCTACACTAAAATCATTTTTAAAAAAGCACTGGTTCCCAGCGGCTTCCCACCGTAATGGGCTCGATACATTCCCTCAGCACCGGGAAGAACTCTAATGTTGCGGAACACAAATGCTAATCTCTCTGTAAATATCACTCAAATTCACTCCCTTCTGCTTTTCAGTTGTAATAGCATGGATTCATTCTGCTTCACCCTGGCAAATTGAATTAATTCTCCAAGCAAGGTGTTATGATTATTCTAAGCTTCCTAGTGCGTGGGCTGTAATGGAGATGATCTTGGCATTTCCGCTCGATCCAAAAGCATTTCACTCACCCTCTCCATTTTGTTTTTTCCCCGTTGCAATATCTAAAGGGTGTCAGTACTGAAAGCTTTGATTAAATCGTTATTCTTGTGCACCTCATAATTACTCCAAGACTGTATTCATGTTGGTGTCGTCAAATCTGCAGCATAGTGGATTTTGGCATTCGCAACGGGAGCGGGCAGGAAGACTGTGAGGGTCAGTCTATAACATGAAGCCGCTGACTAAGTGGCTGAGAAGCTGGAAGCACTTTGCCATTCGCGACATCCAACGGGCCTCCTTGCAGAATGAGTCCATCTACAGAGTAGTCCATCAATTTCATACAGATCTAGCTTCATTAGGAGCATCACGTAGGACAGCTGAGCTCTGCTTCCTGTTGTGTTCCACACTGATTCCTTTTGCTTATTCTGGCAACTGTTCAACTGTGTCTTATGTTCTGCTGATCCCGGCGAAGCATTAATCACAACCAACATGTTGCGCCACCATTTGAGCATGCTCAATTAATACCCTAATCACGGCTGACATCGGTGCATGGCCGTAACGTGGCCTTGGCTAAAAACTATAACAACTTTACACAGCGGCAAAGAGCAGTTAAGATGCACATAAATTTGGCTGATTATACTGATCATTAACTTACTGTACAACCTTTGCACTTATTTACTCAATTAACTGGCTATTTTGAGATCTGTTAACATTAGGGGTGTCTTATTTTCTTTTTTAAAACACTTAATCAGCCATGAATAATGGAAAACTGCTGCAAGCAAAAGCCACAGGTTCACCCTTGAATATCTTGGCATATGGAAAGTGGCAAAATAAATGCACATACCTAATGAGGTAACGGAATCAATGAAGTTGTAGCTGCAGTGAGGAGATAGCAGCGTGCAAATGTGACCCCACCGGTAAATGAGCTTGACCTGCTGTGACAGTCAGGAAGTGTTGCTGTCTGTAGGTTGGGCAACAGCTACCAGAGCAGGGTCTTACAGCTGGGCAAAAGTGCAACAGAGGTTTTGCAGTCAGACAGACGACTTGCATGCAGTGGTGCTGTCTGATATGTCCTCTGTTTCTCCCTTTCTCTCTCTCACCCTTGTTCTATGGCTCTCTGGCAGACTGTAACTCTGTAAATGACTTTGACCTTTCCTGGGACTGAGGACAGGAACCACAGAGGGAGAGGAGAGAGATGGCGGGAGAAGAGAGTGGAGTAGGCGGCTGACTGTAATAAACTCAAAGCAGTGGGCGGCTGTCAACACTAATAGATGGGAGAGGGGAGGGGGGGTCACCCGGTTGATGAATACTAAAGGTGCCTGAGTCCTCAGCAAGTACTCTGTTCCCTTACCAGGCTGGTATGTGTGGGATCTGACGCTCTGAGTGTGATCAGACTACAGGCAGTCGGGGCTTTTTGTGTTGACTGAAGAAAAATATCTTTTGATTTTTGCCAAAGGACAACAAAGGAACAACAGTATTAGCCTATTAGCATGGATTGTTACACGGCTGGATGACTGCAGTTTAACTGTGCAGGGTAACCGCTGCTTAGTTGACAACTCAATTGCTTCAGTCAGTGTAATTCAGTCTCAAACAAAGACATGATCTTTTTTTTCTCATTATGCATTGACAGTTGGAATCTAGCTACACTCAACGGGGTATCTTTGGGTAACATAAGTATCAAAGACAACAGTGTTGTAAATAACAATTATCTTGAACACCAGAAAGAATAAAACGACGGAAAGCACTGGTCAAATTACAATGTTAGTTGTTGGTTCATGATGGTGGATAAACAGTTGATGCTATTGGGAACACTGATGTTTTTGCAGCCAGCTGAGTAGCTGGTGAGATATTTTTTCCAAGGAATCTATAAATCATCTCTAAAGATAACTTAAATGGCACAACGTCCACAAACTTAAACCTAAGTGACCACTTTAATAGCGTTTTTATAATAGACTGGTTCTTACAGATCGCTCTTTTCTACCGTATTTTTTGGACTATAAGGCGCACCAGATTATAAGGCACATTAAGCGAAACAAAATAAAGTGAAACTTTATTCAGCTCTATCACAATAACTCTCAACATTGTTACGTTTTAACACATAAAATACAGAACAGTACACTCACTTTTTCAGTTCATTCCTCTTCCAGAAATCCATCAATGATGCTGAATTATCTCACAGCTGCTTTATTCGTATGTTCTACTGCATGACTGATAGCCTAAAGTTTGAAATCCACTTCGTAAGCATGTCTCTTAACAGGTACCGTTTTGGGGTCCTTGTACACACAGTACGTATTTCTCCGCAAGGCTCCAGACTACGGTAGCCGTAACGCTCCGACAATCCAGCTTTGCAGCTTACCAAAGTCATACTAAAACATTTTGACTGATTTTTGAGGGCTGTGTACCACATAAAATTAGTTCGAGGTCAGTAAGCACAACCAGAATTAATACATAAATTAATTATAAGGCACACTGTCAATTTTTGAGAAAATTTATGGGTTTTAAATGCGTCTTATAGTCCAAAAAATACAGTACTCTACCTGAGTGCTCAAAGCACTTTATAAACTGTTTTTTTTTTTCAGTCATTTAGATAAAGCACTTCTCTTTGTCTAAGTCAGGGGTGTCCAACTCCAGGCCTCAAGGGCCGGTGTCCGGCAGGTTTTAGATCTCACCCTGGGTCAACACACTTGAATCAAATGATTAGTTCATTACCAGGCCTCTGGAGGACTTCAAGACATGTTGAGGAGGTTATTTAGCCATTTAAATGAGCTGTGTTGGACCAAGGACACATCTAAAACCTGCAGGACACCGGCCTTCGAGGCCTGGAGAGGCCTAGAGTCTTTTCTATTTAACATCCACACATCGGGAGCTACTTAGTGTTTAGTATCTTGCCCAAGGATGCTTTGGCATACAGACTGGAACAGGCAGGATTGAACCATCAACCTTATGATTAGGAGATGGCCTGCTCTGCTTCCTGAGCCACAGTTACCCTATCTAAAGCTGAATATTTAAAACATTTAGATCCTTTAATCGTGGCTCTCAATCCACCAAATCCATGAATAAATTAATTGTACCAGATTCTGTTTGAAACCAGATGTTGGGATGGGGCAGTGGACAATGAGGGCTTAATCTTAAAAGAGACCGTGGACAAGCTTTTCCACTAACCCTAACCCAGGGGTGGGCAATCTCAGTCCACGAGGGCCGGTGTCCCTGCAGGTTTTAGATGTGTCCTCGAACCAACACAGCTGATTTAAATGGCTAAATTAGCTCCTCAACATGTCCTGAAGTTCTCCAGAGGCCTGGTAACGAACTAATCATGTGATTCAGGTATGTTGACCCAAGGTGAGATCTAAAACCTGCAGGACACCGGCCCTCGTGGACTGAGATTGCCCACCCCTGCCCTAACCCTTCATGTTATATTTTATGGGTATATGTTTGAACTTAACGTATTAGTGCATGCTGGTGCATTTTTGTTGACCGTGTATTGCATCAACCTCTGTTTACAGGAACGGGGAAAGGTCGGCGTGATCTTCAACGTGGGAACAGACGATATAACCATCGAGGAGAGCGCGGTGATGGTGAGCGACGGCAAATACCACGTGGTGCGATTCACACGCAGTGGTGGAAACGCCACGCTACAGGTGGACAACCAGCCCGTCATTGAACGTTTCCCCTCAGGTAGGAACAGTGGGCTTGATCTAGGGACTGAGGGAGGGAGGCAGTAATGGATTAGATCCTTCACAGGTCTGAATTTTCCGATAAGCCGGGCAACAAAGTGGAGAGAGAAAGAAGGAGCTTTGCAAATGAAATATTCATTATTTTAGCCCCCCAACCTATGTGCAACTAAAAGTGATATTTTTCTCTCTTAAAGACACACATTCTGTTTTATTTATCACGACATTCATATTTAGAGGCTGCTTGCATTATTCCTGGTGATTAAGTCCAGTTCTGGTCTAAAAGGCAGGAAGAGCAAAGCAGCCTTCCCGAGGCAAGCCGTCCTCATCTAAGTGCAACCGGCTCTCTGTGGTTAGTCTGCCATTATAGCTCCTGGCACTGTGAAGCCAGCAGTGAATGGAGGCCACCCGAACGTGAGTATGCCAGCCACGTATGGTTGGTGAGCAAGGTTTTTAGGCAGGATAAACAGGGAGGAAACCTCAAGCTGGGAAAGCGTGGAGGTGTTTTTAACTCAAGCCTTCGCTTCAAGATAAACACGGGTGCAACATCATTTAGACGAGGGCAAACTCCCGATGAGTCACGGCTGGGAGTGTGTTAATTCCCCCACTCTTTGTTTAACCATAATCATAGTATTCTATTTCAGTCTGAAATATGAAGTTATTTTTGGTTATGCTGAAGCTCCCCCGTAATTTCTCTCTCCAGTGTGTTTCCCTTTTGTTCATGGTTGTTCAAAGGAAGACATTTTGTGTTCCCACAACGACTACGCAACACCACGCAGGACTGCCTCATGTTACAAACGAATAAGCAGTGTTTTTATTCTGCACCGATGCTGTCCAATGTGCAAACCTCCACCCGAAGTCGATGCCTTCTCTTCCCGTTGTCTAAAAGCACTGTCTATGTATCATCATTGTTTCAAACTGCAGGGAGAGCGCCGCTAATGTGGTCATGATATTTACTCTTGTTGACATATAGAGCAGTGGGACTGTGACATTCTCTGTCACAGCAGTGATCCCATATTTCGAAGCTTTGTTTTGGCATTGAGAGAAGCATATTCTCTCGCTCATCCATCAACGCAGCAAGGCCAGACTGAGGGGAATGCATCACAGCCAGAAAAGGAAGTGCCGTGTGACAGTTCACTCTTTTCAGTTGTTATTATGATGGAAATGCAGCCCTTTTCACAACAGCGCACACTCCAAAAAGGAGCCTTCATCTAACAATAGCGCAAACCGCTCGGAAAATAACAGCTGAGCAGCCTGTTAACATCGGCAAGTGAGTGTCATCATCCGAATCTATGTTTCGTTTCATCAAGAAACATTAATGCGCATCCCATATCGTATTCTTTTTATTCCTCTTCCCTTCCGCCCTCCTCGCCGCGGTTGTTGTCCTCATCAAACATTTCTTTCCTTTTCCTGTGCTTATCAACAATTGAAGAGTGTGATTTTGTTTTTGTTTGTTAGTTTATTTGATGAGTTTTGTGCTCGGGCTGGAACTTTTAGGAGGTCACGAAGATGAGAGGGGTCGTGTGGGTGGTAGCAGGGGGGCTAAATGGCTGTAGAATAGGTTTGTTTCATTTATGTGAGCTGATTATGCTCTAACTTTTTTTGGGGTGCCAGCTTTGATTGCTCCCATACCCACTTTGAAGGTTGTGCTCATCATCATATTGCTTGTTACACATTAGGAAAGCAAAACTTAGGATGAGGCTTAGGTGCAGATGGGTGGAGGAGTATGTAGAGAGAGAAAGACACTGAGTGAAGGATGTGTTGGGATTGCAACTTCCTAACTGACACATGAGGTGCATAAAGGGAGAGAGAAAGTGATGTTATATTTTTGTAGAGAAAGAAAAAAGGAGGTCCCCTGTTGAAACAAGTTCCCATGACCCAGATTGGAGATTTAGACATCTTCTGATTCTCTAAATAGGACAAAATAGTTTGCGCTCACGGTTTGGGACTGTATTCAAACCTACTTCATTTTCTTGATGCTTACATTATGCAGTGTCAATGCTATGCTGTCCCAGCAGAAAACTTATGTCATCTTATGCTGTCGTTGTAAACCAGATTTCAAGAAAAATAGAACAAGTTGTCATGAAAAATGCCTGCAATGGTGCGTCTGTTGGATGGTACAGGTACCATATTTGTCTGGTCCCTCTAACAAAACAAGGAAGTGCACTTTCCTGTGAAATCCTCTTCCCCAGAGGGACTGTTGTGACCCACATCAAGCAGTCTCTTTGGTATGCTTTTGCAGTTCTGAACCGTGTCTGACATTCTGTGCATATTGAGAGTTACATGTGGGATGCCTGGGGTCTCTGGTAAAAGCTCCCAGAGGATGAGGCCACAAGGAAGGTGGAGGTAAAACAGAGCCGTCATTCCTCGTGAAAAAGGTGGCAGATTTCCTCTCTGTATTTTATTCGGACAAAAAACACGTTTGTGTGCCTCAGCCCAAAATATCTGGAGATTGCTGAAGATTTTGCATCGCTTTACTCACAAAGCCTTTATTAAAACCCGGGCTGGCCAACAGCAAGCTTTTAAACAGAAGGCCACTTCGAGGTGATGATTTGGAGAGACAAGATGTTGACAGCGAATGTGGTCGTCACGGGTCAGGCACATTCGGCGGCTAAGCAACACGTCTCCTGACGTCCCACGAAGTGATGTTAGTAGTCCTCGGGGAGTCTGTGTGTCTGTGGGTGTTGTGGTCCATGTCTGATTCTACGTGTGACAGTGCATGCATCTGTCTGGGTGCATCACATAGTGCAGCATGTTTGTGTGTGTCTGTGTGCATGTGCACATTGTATTTGATGGACAGAGAGCAGACAAAAAGTGTCAGAGGAACGCTCGGCCAACTAATCCAGCATGTCAGGTGTCCCCGGTGGCTCCTGCAGCAACAGTTATTGGCCCGCCCCACCTCCCATTTTCCCAAAATGGCATAGTGGCTCAATAAAACCCTCCCCGTGTCACACTGAGCACCTCAACCTTGCCTCAGAAAAACAGGCAGATGTTAGCACCGGTGCCATACGGACTGTAATTGTACCATTTCACACTCTAGTCCCTTTATTTACTGGTCATCTGCTGTGAGAAAGGAAGTGGTCTCATGTGGTTAATTATTTTTTATCTTAAAGGGTTTGTTTATGATTTTATGACATTGCCCTTTAGGAATATTCATTTCTGAGTGACCAAAGTATTATTTTCTGGTTTGAGGCCTGAACATTTATTCACAGGAAGCCTGTTTGAGAAGAATGTTAATACAGAAAAATAAAGACTTAAGAAGGACTGCTGCTCTGCATCAGTGTTTGTTAGCTTATGTATCATACAGTGTTTTTACAGAGCTTCACTGAACATTAATTAAAGCTAAACTGCAGCTTTTAAAAGAAGAAACACATTGTTTCTCTGGCAAATGCAAAGTTACATTTATATATAGGCTTACATGGGCTGATAATTAGGCATGCAGATGTTAGCAGACCTATAAATTACAGCATGACTAATGTTAAAGAGTCATGTTTGCTCACTTCTTCATAGCTTTTCTTTATTTGTGTACTGGCATGTCTTATTCATCAAGTATATGTAACTTTGTTAAATGCTGAAACTTCCTTGGTCTAGGAACTGAGTAATGGCCATTATGTCCATAGAGCAGAGTTTTCTGAAGTGAACAATGGTGCTTTTATCTTTTTTCTGAGAGGATGAATGAGACATATAATGTTTTTCTCTAAAGTTACAGAAAGTTGTTTTACTGAAGTGATCTGAAGGCAATTTATAGTGTATAATGATGGCACAAAATGGTAATTTAAACTTTTTTTGTCATTTGCTGCGGTGATTTTATTTCAGAATGAACTTGTTAATTATGCAGTGTGGACAGGACTGCCACACTTTTTACCATTGATTTTCTGTTAAAGCTCGTGTCTCTGGAGTCTTGCACAGTGTATATCATCCATCTATCCATTAATTTTCTCCTGTATATCCAATTCAGACTAGTTCTGCCTGGAGGTACACCACAAACAGCTCACCAATCCACTGTAGGGCTAGCACAGAGACACAGGCAGCCATTTGTAACTACAGCCTATTTAGACTGTCAGGAGAATATGTACTTTTGCTCATTGGTGATTCAAAAGTCTTCAGTTTTTGTGGTAGTTTAATTTTATAGTGAGAGACCAAATATCAACCAAAGCCCTGGAAAAAAACTGACTTGGTGGACAAAACCCCTTTTTTTTTTAGCCACTCTGTTGCCTTGTCGATATATTTAGGGTCATTGTCATGCTGGAAGACCCATCCACGACCCATCTCTCATCTTCTCATCCAAGATTTTATGCAATATTGGCCCTTTGGCCCCTCAAACACAAGTAGACCCCAGACAGGCCACCAATCCACTGTTGGGCTAGCACAGAGAGATAGACAGTCATTCATCACTATGGCCTGTTGGGGATGGTGTTCTTTGGGTAGATCAGGTTAATGCCAACTAGCTTTATTTTGGTTTCATTTGACCACAACACTTCATCCCAAGCCTTCTCTGAATTATTTAGATGTTCTCTAGCAAACTTGAGATGGGGCTGTATGTGTACCTTCCTAAGCAGGAGGACCTTGCAGGCAGGGCAGCGTTTCAGTGCATTATGGTGTAGTGTGGTACAAGTGGTCTTCTTGGTGACTGTGGTCCCAACTACCTTCAGATCTTTTATAATGCAATATTTATTTGCTTTTAGAACAAAGGGAAACTGTCTTATACAGCACACCACAAACATACAATATATTGGGTTTCCCGAGAACATTACCCCAAACCCAAACCCGAACCCCCTTTTCTCCCCCTCTCCACACCCATCCTCCCTACCAACACATATCACATTTGCAGCATAACCATGACATTCCAATGACACTACAGGTTAACATAATGAACAAGGAGAAAGGTACAACAGATCAGTGATTTAAAACAAAAAGAGAATAACATGTATTAACTCCCTATTGCACATTTCTGAGCAACCT